CAATATGAAGGGTGAATTGAGGACAGGAAGGGAGATAAGAATGGGAAGCCCACTAAGAGATCATTGCAATAGTCCAGATAGATGACAACTGGAGAGAAGGCCAAATAGTATAGTAAAATAAATACATACATACATACATACATACATATATAAAATCAATGTAAATCAGATATGGGAAGTAAGAGGAAAGAAGAGTAAAGAGTTAAAGTTGTTAACCAAAATAGTATGGGTAATCAGTTAGATTGTAGATTAACTAGAGAGAGATAATATTTAGGAGATTTGGGGGGAAATATTCTTTTAATATTTAATAGACCAAGTATTAAAGTACCTGTGGTACAATGAAATGCAGATTTCCAATGGATCCCAGGATATATGGATCCAGGTTTAAGCAAAAAGGTTGGAGCTACAAAGACTTGGGAATCACCAAGAATATATAGCTGATAGTTGAAATCAGGAGCATAAGCAAGATTGGTCAGAGAGTCTTTGCAACGCAATAGAGCAAATACCAGAGAATTAAATGTTGGGGAATACCAATGTTCATGGAGCAAATAGTTAAAAAGGAATAAACTAAGGAAGCGTGAAGTAGTGGGAGAAGCAGGTGAGGCAGCAAAGAACTCCAGTGCAGACATCAAGGAAAGGTCTTGATATGGACAAGACAGATGTTAAATGGGATAAGTACAAACAGCCTCTAGATTAAAAATTACATTAGCTTCCTTATCTGCAGCAATGTCAACAGACTAGTGAGATCAGAAGTCAGACTGCATTTGTGAAGTTAATGGGCAGGGGAGAAAGAAGAGGCAATTATCCTCTCAATAAACATGGGAGTCTAAGAGAGCAGAAAGAGAGGTGATAATGGTAGGAGTGTGGAGGCAGGGACAAGGGCAAGATCTGTTTTGGTTCTTCTTGCTTGTTCGTTTTTAATATGGGATAAAACCTGAGCATGTCTGCAAGCTCAGGTGAAAGAAACAATGGAAAAGGAAGGATCTAAGATACGAGACTGATGAATTAAGCTGGGTAGGTCTCCAAGATGGTGGAAGTGGAAGAGCTGTGGACAGGTGATCTTTTCCCTAAAAGGGTGAATAGGCGTACTTCCGAAACTGGGTGAGAAAGGATGAAGAGACAAAGGTTACCTAAGATTTTATAGATGACTTTAGAAACGATGGGAGGGAAGTTGAGAGAGCCTACATAATTATGAGCATGCATCATACTTTTTTTGTGGCAGAGTAGGAAGTTAATTATCTGCTTAAAATGGATGTTTAGGAATGGGGTAAGAAGGCCCAGCAGTCACTACGGTAAATGAAGCAAAGCTGGTGAGTAAAGATACCTGCTAGAAGTGAATTGTTTGCCATCAGACCTTGACTCCGGTATGAAAACTAGGGCCGCCAACCAAATTGGGTTAGAATTACAGTAAAAAAGGAGGATTTAGTCAGATCTCTCCTCAATAGAGATCAAATAAGGACTGGAATAAAGTGGGCATGTGCACAAAGTGTTTAGTTCTGGCTCAAAGTAAGCCCTCACTAGATTTTGAAGCGGCCTTACAAGAATTGAAGTGGTTGACCTAGAATTACAGGGAGAAGGGCAGTTTAAAATCAGCATCATACAGAGTTAAGGCCTTATCAAGCATTTAAAACACATTAAGTACCACTGAAGGATAAAAACAAAAAATCCCTACCATCTATAAACTACATTTTATGTTATTAAGGGGTACATGGTCTGAAAGTTGTCTCTTTGTCCAAGAGGCCTTGTAAAGTGCTTGGAGCATAGCAAGGGCTCATACTTGGCTTGAAACAGGAAGAAAAAAAAAACAGCAATTTTGACAGACCCTGCACTTGCCAATTTCCCTGCCTTGTCTTTTAACCCGTAAGTGTGACATGTATTCAAATATATACAACTATTCTCAAATCCTGTGGCTGACCAGATTCTGAGTCGAATACAACTATTCTGTGGATATGGGACGAAACAGAGAAGGGTGTAGCTTCTAATTCCTGTTTCTCTCCACACAAACACAAAGAGAGAAAATCCAGGTTCTATTGTTTTAAGTCTAGGTCTGTCAGAATCAAATTTCCTGGTGCTCTATATTTTTTACTTCAGTATTACAATGAGCCCAGCAACATTGATCCTACACTACTATTCTTATTCTTTTATCATAGAAAACATATCTGTACTAGTACAAGTCAAAGTAGCTTTATGACAACCCAACAGTGCATTATATTAGGCTGAGACATAATATATAAAAGTGTAGAGTTTTTTATTTTGTATAAAAAGCTATGACAGTAAAAACCTAGAAGATGGGGAAATGGCTTTATGAAAATTGTGTCACAAAAATCACATTAATGTATTAAAAGCAATGCCTATACTAGCAATAGTTGGACTGACATGAAAGAATACAGACTTAGTTTTAATAATGTAAGTGATAAGTTTGGATTTAGAATATTTATCAATTTTGGAAAAAACACCTAGTCTCATCTTTAGAATCTGGCCTTTCAAATCTCCATTAACAACTCAGTGACAAAGATAAAACATCTGCCAAAATACCGACAACAGCATGAGCCATACCCTGATGGCAGACACTGCATGTGATGCTCTGACACACTGCCTCCAGACTGCTGGGGCGGCCCCATCCATAACTACTTTAAATAGGCATCTACTTCCTTAAAATGGCAACTTCTGTTTAAAAATAATATTTTTAAGGAGAAAACATTTTCTTTTACGCAAGCCAAATTACTACTAGTCTTAGACAATAAACATGTTTTTTAATCATATGTACCCTCAATCTCAAAATCACTTTGAAAAATGATTCAACCACTAACAGTTTATATACTGTCATTATTTGAGTAAGGTTTTATTTACCAGTTTGTGAATCCCACTGGAAATGCTGATGTGCTTTTAAACAAAGTACAATTGGACATATGGGATGGAGGGGAGGAAAGGAGCATAATAATTCATTCTGTATCTTGTAAGCCAATACAGGGCCTTACAGTTTGCCTGTAATTACATCAAATGGGCATTTTTGATAACTTGTTTTACTGCAAAGATGAACTGATACTGTAGAGCCTACCAGGAAATGCCCTTTGATTACCATGTACAAGAAATTGAAAGCAAAACCAAAGATCGAGTATAAATTAACGTACAAATTCATGTGCTTTCTTACTCATTCTGGATTCTAAATTCAGTCTCTCAAATATATTGGTTTAGAATTACTTGTGTTCTGAGACTAATATCTACTCAAACATATCCTTTTAAAATTAAATATTAAATGCACACACAAAAATCCACTGTATTTTATGGCAAATACTATCACTTCCTTGTTTATATTCAACACTTACAGAACCCAAATTCATAATGCCTCTATTCTGTTTTTTATTTTTTCAAGTTATTGGCTAACTACAATAAAATATCATAAAGTCTCAATTCTATGACTCTATAGGGACTTGAGCACACTAATATTAGTTGTGAATAAGTGTTAATTATACATAATCTTAACTATTACTAAAGGAGGCCTAACAGAATTCCTATCCTAGTACCATTCTAGCAGTTCTTTCTAATTTACTTGAAAACAGGATCCCTGTTTTTAAAGCAGTACAGGATCTATAGTTTTTATTCTGCAGATTAGCTTTTGAAGCTTACAGTACGATTTAGTGATATTTTATCACAAATTTATAATCTGGTTCAACATGCTTTCTGATCAGAAGACAGGTTTCTGAAAGCACTATTATTTTAGCAATTTTTATAGTAATAACAACAAATCACTGATGATAGTGACAGAAAACACTATTTTATCTAATGTCAACTCTTTAGAAAATAGATACAATGATTATTAAGTTCCAACATCCTAGGATATTCAGGGAGTGGGAAAGTGGTAAGCAGGGTCTCAAGAGCATCTTGAAAGCAGCTGAAATCACAAACCTTAATGAATGGAACAGTGAAGCTAATAATCCATTTAAGTTCTAATTAGTTTAGTGTTCTAGAATTAAATATAACAAATGCATGTAACTTTTATTCAAACTCAATTTGAATCATACAAAAAGTTCACAAAAGGCGTTACCTATAGAAGCCACAAAAAACCCTCCTATTCCTTCCTCAGTTTTTACGAAGCACTTTCTTTTTTTCTTAAATAGATTCTAAAAGCCTAGCGTCCAAGACGCTATCGGGGTGGAATTAACACCAAATCTCACTTAGCTGCAAATACGTTTTGACTAGGGGTAATCATCCTCGTATTTCAAGCGAAATCTATACTACTGTTAAACGTTTCCCAAAATAGAGCGGGGAAACTTGAATGTGAAATTTGGACCGTATTAAAGTGGTTGTTGTGGCGTGGGGACAGTGAGAGTTTCCAGGAAGCCTATTTCTAGGGTTTAATATATATTTTTTAAGCGGCCAGAAGATTCTTCTGATTAAATGGTGGGTTGTAAATAAAACTTAATTGTATCCATTATGTCTCCTTGACTTCTGTGCTCAAGTGAGAGGGCAAATAGGAAAAAAACAAAACAAATGAACAAACAAAAACCCGTCTTGCAGACTTCACCAAAATGCGCACTTCCATCGCAAGAGGCCCGGGCTCTCCCACACTCTCCCTCCTACATCCCCACGCATTGAAGCACTAAGGAGGGAAGAGGGGTGCGAAAGAGGGGGGACCGCAACAGCTGCCACCCACTCGCCTCTGATCGCGCCCTTTCTCTCTACAGTTAATTTGCGCTGGAGGTGCATGGTTTGGAGTCTTCCCTGGTGTGTGCGTCTGGAGGCGGAGAACGCGGGAAGGAGATGAGCCCTGCTGTCACCCATGGGAAGGTGAGGAGGGAAAGAGGAAAGAAGGGGACGCCTCATTACCCGTGGGGCCCTCCCACGTTAGTAACGGGGCGTGCAAGGCCACCGCATCCAGCACCCCGGCCACCCTCTCCAGGGCACCGCGGAACGAGCGGGAGCACAACCCACACGCCCGCGGGGGCGCCGCGGGGGCGACTAGGCGCGATCCGCAGAGCCAGAATCTAGGGGCCACTCACCGCAGCAAGCCGAGCTCAGCAGCAGCAGCACCACCAGGGGCCACATCTCCGCGCCCTCTGCTGCTGCTGCTGCTGCTGCCGCCGCCACCGCCGATGCTGCCGCCGCCGCCGCCCTCGTCTGGTGCAAACACCTCCGTCACAGTCGAGACCCTGTGCCGCCGCCTGTCGCAAGCAGGACCCACCGCCCAGGATGCCCGGCCGCGTGCACGCGAGCTCCGGCTTCTGCGCGCACCCGAGCTCCCGCTCCGCACACTCGCTCCCCAGCGCTCGCAAGCCGCGCACGCGCACTCTCCCTCGCCCGCGCCGCCGCAGCGCCTGCTGACGCGAGTCGTCCTCATTCGTGGAGTCGTACCACGCTGTCCCTCGGCTCGGCGAGACCGGGAAGTGACTGAGGCCGGACTTGCCAGGCACGCCCCACCGCACCCTCCACCACCCCCTCCACCACCCCGCGCCCGGCCCGCGTCGCCGCTTGCCACTGGAGGCTGGGCTTGTGTTCCAGCACTCTCAGGGGGCTTGGCTGCACCCGCCGCTCCCCGCGGTCCCCTGCCTGCTCCTCCACCGCCCTGGGCCCCACTGTCCTCCCTCCACTCTCCGCTCTTGCTGGAAAAATGGATTCAAAATGTGGCTCCAAGCCATAACATTAACAAGGTCTTTGACTATCTCACTGGATTACACAGGCCACATCAATCAAACCGAAGCGACGCCCTTTTAAAACTACTTGCAAATTTATCCTAAATAATGAACTCTTGTCACAGAGTCAGGCTCTGGTGGCTACCCTAAGGGGCTACTATCCTGGCAGCTCCTCGGCTTGTTTTTCTCTTACCTGGTGGAAAAGAGAGCAACTTCCCACCACAATATCCCGCTTTTCCGAATCCTCTACCCATGGCCTCTCAGCCGTTGCACCCCATCCCCAAGTAATACAATCCAGGAAACAAAATTTCTGCTCTCTGACACTCGGTAGCAGTGCATTATATACTATGTAACTGTGTAATGGTTTTCTTACGTAAACCTCTTTCCCACAGCCTTATCAATTCTTTAAAATCAGACAGTGTTTTAAGTATTTCCTCTTCTAAGACTTCCTATTCAACTGGGCAAACAGAAGGGGTTTAATAAATGTGTTGATGTGACTTGAGACAAGCATTGCTCTAGCGAAATTTGATTGTTTTTAAATGATTAAAAAAGGAAAGGAAAACATACTTCACTAAAACAATGGTTAATAATCATGGTGGGCATGATTTGAATGGCAGCTTTGACACCCTGAGGCTATCAAAGGGACTGATGGATTCTCCTCCAACTGCTTATGCGGATACAATAGAATCACCCACCAGACTTGGAACATTCTGGACATGGTGTATCACAGAGCAGCTGGTTGGCTAAATACGGCTGTCAGCTGTCTCTGAGACTAACCAACACCCCCCAAAGTGGAAGGGTGAGTGGGAGGGGACTGTCCTCATCCTTGGGAGGTAGACTTGGAGTGATGCTCTGTTTTGCCCTGGGAGCTGCTGAGGCTACATACTAAATGTAGCTTTGTGCAGAATTGGAGTAATCTCTAGTCAGGTGAATGAGAGGCCGCCTGAGTGACCACCTCTGCTCTGGGGAATCTAGCTGGGATGTGTTTTGAAAGTGCAGCAAGAGGAGTCCTATTCTAGGAGACAGAATCCAAAGCAAGCTGCCTAGTTTTGATAATCTTTTCTCTGAGATCATCACAGTGCTCCTTTCTTGTGCTCCTTTCTCCAGTATCTAAGTACCTTACATTTCTGTTTCTCTTTTAACACTTCCAAGCATTTTTGTTTGGATTTTGAGCTCATCTTTACATAAAGAGTTTCTTGGTTGGAAGGTGAGAGAGTAATTAATGCATATTAGAATGTTTTGAACAGACATAATACACATTCAACTTATTACCAAAATTAATCTTCATAACAGCCTTGGAATGGGTATTATGGCCTCCATTTCAGTGCTGAGGAAACAGAGGGAAAGATGGAAAATGAGTACTTTGTCCCTGATTATACGTGATACTTTTCTGTCTCCGTCTCTTTTGATTATGTCTATCTTCCTGTCCTCCTTTTCCTACTTTTTCTTCTCACCCTATAACATCTAATTATTTCTTCCATTGCACTGTGTTTATGATGCTAATAAAATGTATCTATATATTTCTTTGTGCATATCTGTCTCTTCTATCATGTTAGTTAGGAGAAAATGAAATTTTCCCTGGGTATATTTGTATTTCCAGGGTCTATCACAGTGTGTGGTCAATACCTAAAAGCTCTGTGTGTGTGTGGGCTCAACCAAGAGAATCAGTGTAATATGTGGTATATAGAAACACGCTAGCCAGCATTCGAGTTTCAGCTTTAGCTATGTACTATGGTTAACCTTGAACAAGTCACTTAACCCTTCTGAGCCCTATTTTCCTCAATTCTAAAACTAGATGATAAAAATAATAGAAATTAACTCTTTAAATTGCCTTGAGAATTTAATATTAACATTTTTACAGCTACATAGTGTAGTTTCTGGTGCACAGTAAGCACACAATGAATATTAGCTCTTGTTATTACAATCTTCTTATAGTGAGATGAGCCTCCTAGAAGAACAGCAAAAATTATTATCTGAAGGATCACCAGTTGCTGGTCTGAAACATTGAAGAGGCACTGTGAGTTGGCCAAGTGTCTACAATTTTTATTCAAGCTTGAGGTGCAAGTCCGTGCCCTGTGGGTAGCCTGTAATCCGCACGCTCTTCTGTACACATTGTTGGTGATTGAACATGGAGAGACCCACATCTCAGATACCTGGCTCAGGGCCCAGTGTCCTAGGATACTGTTTCAACTGGAGCCACTTACTAAAGCATAGTTGCCCCAGCCACCAAATAAAGCAGTGTAGCAACGAATATCTGTGCTCAGTAGGCAAGGACTGGGTTTAGATGGTCAGGCAGATGGAAGATACTGACATGCAGTTAGAAAGATGGATTTGGCTTAGGGAAACAGAAGGAAGTCTTCAGCAGCAGGAAATGATCTCCTTCCTAGCCTGTGCTTCAATTGGGGGAAAATCTTAGAAACAGAAACTGCCTCTAAGTAGTAGGATGGCAGGACTGAGGGTTTCAGGTAGGGGATAGCCTACCAGAGAGATGACAGTGGGATCTCATGTGAATTTCCATCTGGATGTCACTGTGCCCAGGCTTTTTTTGCCTCAATTGGGAGAAGCACAGCACTTCTTATTCCTCTTGCTGCTGTGACTGGAGGCTGCTCAGGTAGGGGGCCCATACTCATGACAGCTGGAAAGCACTAGAGAAAGCCAGCTCCTAGGTTAGTTGTAAAATCACAGCAGGTGTATTTTTTTGAGAGTACATCATATTTGAGGTCCTGGGAAGGCATCTTTGTACCTTGCCCAACTCTCCTCTTTGAGGACAGATAACATACGTGTAGTGGACACACACTATGCACCAAGACCTTGCCATGCTAGTGTATTTATTGACTGATGCTACCAGAACAAATTGCCACAAATTTAGGGACTTTAAACAGTACTCATTTATTATCTCACAATTCTGTAGAAGTCCAGTGGCTTCCCTGCTTCTGGTCTCCCAAGGCCAAAATCAAGGCACTGTCTGGGATGCTTTCCCTTTTGAGTGCTCTGGGGGAAAATCATTTTCAGGTTCATGCAGGCAGTGTGCAGAACTCAGGGTCTGTAGGATGAGGTCCCCATTTCCTTTCTGGCTGCCATCTTGGTGGGTTCGCATCCACAGGCCTGCTTCAGGTAACATCACAGTATTCTCCTGTTGTCCTGCCTCCACTGCCTCCCCGTCCTCTGCCACATTTCCATGACTGCTCTTCTGTCTCCCCTTCCACTTTTAAGTACTCAAGTGATTAGATTGGGTCCCTCGAGGACCCCAGGATAATCTGCCCATTTTAAGGTCTGTAAACTTAATCACACCCACAAGTCTCTTTTGCCAGATAAAGTAACATATTCAAAGATTCCCAGGGATTATGGCTTTGGGAGGCATTATTCTGCCTACCACAGTTAGGTTCTCTTTTTATTTATCTCCCTGGATCTTTAAACAGCTCAGTAAGGGAAGCATTATTCTACCCATTGTGCATATGAAGAAACTGAGGACCAGAGAGGTTCATATCACAGGTAGTAAATGGTGGAGCTGGAGTGTGTCCTGCTGCCGAGCTCAGGCTCCTTCCTCTGTGAGTGAAGGAAAGGTGGAAGCAAAGCAACTGTGTGGTTGTCACTTTCATTGCAACTCCCACTGTTGCTTCACTAGTGTGGCTTTTCAGCTCAGTGAGGTCGTCCAACATTGTGTCCACCAACTTTCCAGCTCTCCTCCTAATTGCACAATATGTGTATCCACTGAGTCTCAGCAGAAAACAGATGGCACGCTCAAATGAAGATACTGAGATGAGATTAATAAAGGCACTTTATTAATCTTGTTTACAAGGGTGTCGGCAGGGTTAAGGGAGAGTGACAAGGAAAGGAGAAGTGTTGTTAGCTAATGACAGCTGTTGTCCCCTGGTCTCTAGTTCTGGAGGTGCAAGGAGAAGAACGGTTAGAGAACCCTGAGAGAAAGGAGAAACTGAAGGGGGGCTTCCTGGCAGGAGCTGTGACCTTCAGAGGAGGAACAGCCAGTGCCTACCTGGTGCAGAGGAAGGTGTCCAAGTAAACACCCTGACTTTACTCTCCTCCTACATTCTGAACTTCTGCTTTGGGCAAATAGCAACCAGAGGCTAGGCAGAAGGGAGTCTGTTTATGCAGTCGCAGGCTCAGAGTATGGAAGGGGAGAAAGTGAATCTGAGGGAAGCTAATCAGCACAGCAGGACTGTCTCTCCCAGCCCCCTCGAATTTGGGTAGGAAAATGTGCCTTGCTTTGAGCTCGATATTAGTTTCCTAGGGTTGTCCTAAGAAATTACCATAAGCAAGGGGGCTTAAAACAAGAGAAACTTATTTTCTCACAGTTCTGGAGACTAGACATCTGAAATTAAGATGTCAACAGAGCCACATTCCAGCTTCTGGAAGGTCTCGGCAGTCCTTGGAGTTCCTCGGTTTGAGCTGCATCACTCCAGGCTCTGCCTCCATTTTCAAGTGGCCTTCTCCTGTTTCTATGTCCTCTCTTTTCCTTATAAGGACACAAGTCATCGGATTCAGAGCCCACTCTAAATCCAATATAATATCGTCTCCAGATCCTTAACTAAATGCATCTGCAAAGACCTTATTTGCAAATAAGGTCACATTCAGAGATTCTGCTAGTGGACATGAATTTTGGGAGGATACTGTTCAACCCATAATAGCCAGTAAATGTGTTACTTCTGGGAAGAATCATCAAGACCTAGCGTGCAATTTGCCACTCTCTCTTTCCCTCCCCCATG